GCCAATATATCTTCACTTGATTCTACCACTGTCAATGACAAAGTGAATTATTACCACCACTCTAAATTGTGCACAAAAAGTGATAAGATAGATCTTTCTCGCAATACATTGAGTCACTAAGGGAATTAAAAAAAGAACATGAATTTATGTCACTGAATTTTTCTTATTAGTAACAAATTGTGGTTTAAGTGATACACAAATGAAACATGCCTGGGAACTACCTGGCACTGGTTACCTGGCATATTTGGACTTATTACAATATGAAATTTAGGCTGCTAAGTATTTATACTAATGAAATAATTATATTGGTAGTGCTGGACGGTTATTAATTACACTCTTAACGAAAATTGGGTCGATATTATTTCTGATAAGGGACGTCATTCACCATCCCAGATGCAGCAGTTTTCACCACTCTTCAAATAGACAACTTACGACTTTTTTTAGCTTAATTTGATTTCAATACGTTTCTACACATAAATCATTTGGATTAGTTATCTTAAAGGCTTACTTTTTATGATGGTTAGGAGAATTTGGAGGAAATAAGCGGCGATGAGGCAAGTAGAGGCTGGCGGATGTTCCTAAACAAACATGGAATTCTTTTAAAAAGAACACTAAAATTCTTCATGTGCTGTTCTATATGGAGGATATCTTATAATAAATATTATTCTTTTGCAGATTTATACAGTTTATGTGCATCCAATTATATTTCTTTTCCTTTGGTTTCAAATATAGTTCCATCATAGTGGTCATCGGGTGGGGGTGCGAGTACCACGAAAATCTCTAACGTTCTAATAACGAATCGTAGATATATATTTTTTTTATTAGCCCAGAATGCTTCTTGCATACCAACCATGGGGTTACTACAGCATGGTATACACCACGGAGCTTCGTGCAATCGGCCCTAAATCTGACGGGGACTCCTCAAAACTACAGGAAGATCTAATCAAATTTTTTGAACGGTCTGAAAAAAGGCAGATGAAATTCAATGTGGACAAATGTAAAGTACTTAGTCTAGGAGATGTAAACAGAAAAACCAGATATCAGATGAAAAACGATGTTATAGAAAAATCCGAATGTGAGAAAGATATAGGAATAATGATAAGTAGGAATCTTAAGCCAAGTAAACAATGTGTATTTGCTCGAAACAAGGCTAATAAAGTACTTGGGTTCATACAAAGGAGTGTTAGTTACAAAACTTGAGAGGTCATCCTGAAACTATATTTTGAGCTTGTGAGACCTCACCTTATTACAGAATGGATATAGAATCCCTAGAAAGAATTCAGTGGAGAATGACAAGATAGGAAGATAGGAAGGAACTGGTTTACAAATAGGGTGGTGGACGAGTGGAACAAGCTTAGCAACTTTGTAGTAAGTGCTGGAACGCTGGAAAGTTTCAAAAGGAAGCTGGATAGATTCATGGATGATAGAGAGTGGTAGTAACTCACGACAGCAGCTGTCATGCACAGGCCAACCGGCCTATTGCAGACTCCTTATTTTCTTATGTTCTTATGTAATCCCGGGCATTAGGAACCTCGAGTACAGAGACAAGTTAAAGCATCTAAATTTGCACTCACTCGAGAGACGTAGAGTGAGGGGCAATATGATAGAGGTGTATAAATGGAAGTCAGGGCTAAACAAGGGGACATAATAAAGATACTCAAACTATCTAACCAGGAGCGGAGCAAACTCGTAACAATGGTTTTAAATTAGACAAATTTAGATTTAGGCGCGAAATAGGTAAACATTGGTTTGGAAATAGAGCAGTGGATGAATGGAACAAGTTACCAAACATCATTATTGACTCGAATACGATGGGTAGCTTCAAATATAGGTTGGATGGATATATGAGCAATCGGGGTTGGGCCTAAATGGGACTGCCCAGTATGGGCTAATAGGCCCGCTGGAGTTTCCTCCATTCTTATGTTCTTATGTTACTGCAGTGTTGGTCCTTTTTATAGATATATTTCACACATAAATATATATATTAGTTCTGGAACTAATAAGTGGCAGCGATGAAGTAAACACTTTGTTGGTTTTTCTTTATTGTAGAAAAATATAGTTTCAGAGGTACTGAGGTCAGTTGAGAGTATATTGTACCTTCTCTGCTAAGGAAAGTGTCTTAGTGCACTTATAGGAGAACACTTAAGTGAGGTGTTCACTGGGTAATAAGTGATATGGGTCTGCCCGCTCTCTTTCGCTCAGGCGTGAGATTCAAGGAGGAGCGGGCGAGGTATTTGCAAAATCAGCTTGACCTCTTTCAACCTTTGACGACCTCCTCCTACAGGTCCCCAGCCGTCACCTACACCTCTTCTATCCCTGACCATATATCCCTCCTCCTAGAGACAGGCCTGACACTTGACATTATTAGGGACCAGCCACACTTTGCCATAAACAGATAAATTGTACCGGGAATTTTCCCCCACACACTCATCATTCTGTCACTTTATGTAACTTGCTGAAAAAACCCATGACCCTTCAGGCTTTTACGCCTTTAATGCATGAGTCATAAAGGCAAGCATGAACTACGCATGCATCCCAGATGGGCGCTGTAAACGATTCTGCACTTCACCTTGCACAGGATATAAGGGGTGCCCAATAAACTAGCCCCCTTGGGGGAATCTAAAAATAATCTAAAAATCATGTATAACATGAACAACTACTGAGGCTTGGTTGAATAACTTAGTGAATAACTACTGAGTCATTGCTGAATAACTTAAAGGTATTATACATTTAAGTATTATACATTTGGGTGAATATATATATAATACAAATGGTGCTGTTACACTACCTCACTCATATTTCATACAATTGTTCAGCCCACACATTAATCAAGCAGTCCATTCATAATCACTGACTATAAATATATATTCCTTACAAAATGTGTGTCTGTGCGATCCACGTCCTTTAATGACCTGCCTGGTAGCAAGAAGAGAAAAAGAAAGAAGAAACACACATAACACCTTGAAAGCCACAGGACCACCAAAATATCACAATTTCTATGGCCGTAATGACCCAAGATGCCGACGGACAAAAAATCAAATCAACCAACCAACCAACCATTTGGTTTCACGTCAGGGCCAGGTCGATAACCATATCCACCACAACACCTGGTCTCAGGGCACGGCCAGGTAGACAACTGCATCCACCACAACACCTGATCTCAGGGCAGGGCCAGGTCGATAACCATATCCACCACAACACCTGGTCTCAGGGCAGGGCCAGGTAGACAACTGCATCCATCACAACACCTGATCTCAGGGCAGGGCCAGGTAGATAACCATATCCACCACATCACCTGGTCTCAGGGCAGGGCCAGGTAGACAACTGCATCCACCACAACACCTGATCTCAGGGCAGGGCCAGGTAGATAACCATATCCACCACAACACCTGGTCTCAGGGCAGGGCCAGGTAGATAACCATATCCACCACAACACCTGGTCTCAGGGCAGGCCAGGTAGACAACTGCATCCACCACAACACCTGATCTCAGGGCAGGGCCAGGTCGATAACCATATCCACCACAACACCTGGTCTCAGGGCAGGGCCAGGTAGACAACTGCATCCACCACACAACACCTGGTCTCAGGGCAGGGCCAGGTAGATAACCATATCCACCACATCACCTGGTCTCAGGGCAGGGCCAGGTAGACAACTGCATCCACCACAACACCTGATCTCAGGGCAGGGCCAGGTAGATAACCATATCCACCACAACACCTGGTCTCAGGGCAGGGCCAGGTAGATAACCATATCCACCACATCACCTGGTCTCAGGGCAGGGCCAGGTAGATGACCATACCTATATGTATATTATGTATGCTGTATGTATATTATGTATGTATATTATGTATGTGCTCCATTTAAATACATTATTTATTCAGCCTAGCTAGCAGCGTGTGGCAATGTATTTACCATGTCCCACACACTTAATTAATGTGCCTGGCGACTTATGGAAGCTGCTAATGTATCACTTGCCACATGTCGCCTAAAAGGCTAGTTGAACCCCCAGACAGAGTAAGGAGAGCCGCCTAGCTTGTGTATCTCTGTTTATCCAGTAAATAGAACCTACGAAAACTCTACAGGTGTTTGTGTTCGCTCCTGTAGATAGAACTTGATACCCAGAACATATACAATACCCACCACAATACCTAGTCTCAGGGCAGGGCCAGGTAGATGACCATACCCACCACAACACCTAGTCTCGGGGCAGGGCTAGGTAGGTGACCACCAGTTATAGAGAAAGTACTGGAAAAGGTTACTTAAGTAAAGGTAATTACCCTGTGAAAAACTTACTCGAGTAAAAGTGAAAATTTTTTCATGTTATATTAAGACGTATAGTAAGAAGTGCCAGTAATGTATTCAACAAACTAGATAATTCTGATTCACTAGGCTGCTGCTAGTAGCCTGTAGGTAAAAAAAATCCTCATGATGATAATAAATAAGTGGGTACACATTAAATGAACCCCAACATTATTTGCTTAAAGAAAATTAAACACCAATAATTATACATTGGGTGTATTGTACTATGTAATGAAGGGTATAAACTATCCGGTGCACAGGTTCTTGTTTATGGCACATACCTTTCATTAAAATTAACAAAAGTTGAATATTTTAATGTTTTTGCTAACCGTAGCCACTTTTGGGCTGTGAACACAAAGTTTCCTCAATACTGAGTTATATTTGCGGGGGGAAAATATCACACATTCATGCTGAGACACCCATAATAAAGTGAAGAAGTAACGAGAGGCCCCCCAAAATAAGCAACGAAGTAAGAATACTGATGGTTGTCTAAAATGCTATTCAAGTAAAACTAAAAGTACCTAGAAGAAAGGTTCCTTTAAAGGAACTAACTTATTTGGAACAGTCGTTTGAGTCCGGTAGGTGTGCTTAAAAATGTCTACGAAGTCCACCTTTGGGCCAGGCAAGGAAGGCAATCATCCCCACCACAACACATGGTCCCTGGGCTACGTCATACCTCCTAAAACACCAAATTCTCACCTTTTGTTGCCTTTTGAACAACCACACCAGTGTACGGATGACCACGGCGATGGCGAGGTAAGTAAATATGTCCTCTCTCTCCCACCCCAGGACGTGGTCCTTCAGCGAGGTCATATCACAGCCTCCTTCCTGTAAGTACCAGTATCATAGTAAAGAGACATATTGTACACCAGTCGCACAACACAATCGGTAAATCAGTTAATTACTAAACACCTTCCTTCTCGGGTGTCTTAACAAAAGAATCAAGCTTCAGGCACCACAGTATCTCCGACGCAGTTTGGGACTCGAGTTACAGTAATATGAAAATCTCTTTAAATTTAAAGTTTGTATCTTAAACCATTTTTTTTTCCCATGCGTTTATTAGTAAAATTAGAACTTATGTCTAGTGATTTTTTCACTGTTCTTTATGTCTACGTAATTTATTTCTAGTTACTTTCATCCCGCCAGTATAACAGAAAACCCACAAATTAAAATTTAGGCGCTAGATTGGTAAACACTGGTTTAGAAATAGAGTAGTGGATGAGTGGAACAAGTTACAACAAATCATTAAATCAAACACGCTGGATAGCTTCAAATATATGTTGGGCGGATATACATGTATGAGCGATAAGAGTGGGGCGCAAACGGGGCTGTCTAATATGGACCGATTGGCTCACTGCACGAACCTCCACTTTTATTTTTTTTCCTGGTCATGTGTTCATATGTAAACATTAATGATATTTACAAGTTCAGTGAGAAATGTTCTGCTGCACTCTAAGTAATAACTTCCAGACGTCATAATTATCCAGACTTTTGTTAATGATGCCCCTGATGTACTGCACCACAGGATGATGCTCCCTTCAGCTACTCCCATTTCGTCTTCTCTGAAAATTCCACATACTCCCAGTAGGTCTAGTGTCAATTAATGGCCACTGAAAGTTGATCTTGACATCAATACCTAACCTGATGTTATATAAGCGTAATGACGTAAGTTGAAGAGTTATCATTCAGTAATCAGATACCATGGCCTCGTAGTAGTGTCATAGGGGCCGAGGTGCATACACGAATTATTAATATAATAAGAGTTATTTCTCAACATAGTTTTCCTTTCAAATAATTAAGCAATCATATATGTAATTAACAAATAAATCAGAAAATAAGTCTAGTACACATATGTGCACAACTTTGTCGCCTGCTGCGTCAATTATTAATTTCAGATCGTTCATTTTCATTTCATTTCATGTCGCTATAATTACTCGTGGCCGATATGCTATCGCCATTGTTTGTTTTTTGTAATTTTATCAGTTCACATTTATATAAATACTAACTGCCTATATGTTGATAGAAGCTATTACAGCAAACCAAGGTGCCCGTATGACACTTTTATTTATCTCACCACAAGAGAATTAAATAATTATTATTCTTAACTATATTCCTCCGACTCCGAGTTCTATGTGTCTTAGGAATGTAGTCGAGACCGAGATCCAGGACGAGACCTGTATGAGTCTTAGTTACTATCCAAAACAGTCCAGATAAGATATGTTGTCCCTCTTCTATTTATCATACAATTAGTGAATTCTTATCATTACCCCGTAACCCTTACTCACAGATTCCTCTTCCACGAAGTTCTCGCTCAGTCTCTCACAGTAAATCACACAGAGTTTATTGATGTTCAAATGAGATGAGAAGTAATTCCTGTTGGGCCTTTTGGCTCTTCTGTAATGACTTGCTAAAGCTGGCATATTTTCCCCGGTCTTTATACTCGCATAGGATTCCCCAGATTCCTTGCTAAATATACGCCCAACCGGAGCACGAGAGGCAGGCACATATAGAATGATCAGTGCCAGATTGAACAATAATGACACGTGGTCTCCTTCTGCCAGAACTGAATTGGAGGCACATCTCCTACATGGGGTCACCTTGCCAAAGAAAATTGACCATGACCCAGGAAATCCCTGGACAAGACCAATCATCTCTACCGATTTAGGCATCAAACTTTGTCACTTCAGCATAGGTGTTGACACAAATATGCATTAATTTTAAGACTACATCAGACAAAAGTGGATTTCAATCAAGTCTTCACAAGGTAATCACCATAAAGTATAAATTGCAGAAAAATCTGCTTCGGTACGCACATATCTGTGTAAAATGAACAGGACACATGGGTTAGTAACCGTAAGGACTTGGTATGCTAGTGGTCGAGCGGTGTTATAGGTATATGTATGTATGTATAACAACACCTCAATATGCTACTCGATAGCCTCTCGTTCACAGCAGGGCCATAAGTCCTAGAGACGACATAGGCCTTTAGATGACAGTGCGACACTTGACTTAGATAAAGACACACACTATTATTATATTATATTACATTATAGTCACCGTACCGCTCTTGCCTCGCAAGCAAGATGTCACGGGTTCGATTCCCGGGCCGGTGGAAGTTGTTTGGACATACTTCCTAGGCCCCATTAGTCCCTGTTCACCTAGCAGTAAAGTAGGTACCTGTTGTAAGTCGAAAGTTGCGAATTCGTATTCAGGGAAAGTTGTTGGAGCTTCCAATAACTTGATGACATAAAACCACTGACTCTTCAGGCTTCTACGCCCTTGACTCTTCAGGCTTCAACGCCCTTAACTCATGAGACATAAAGGCAAGCATGAACTCAGCATGCTTCCCTGTTGGGCGCTGTAAACGCTTCTGCGCTTCACCTTACACAAGGATGTAGGGGGTGCCCAATAAAAAAATAATAATAATAATAATAGTCACCATAGTGACAATAAAATTCTGGGTATAATAATAACTGAAATAACTGTCCAAGACCGAGTCTTGTCTCGAGACCTTCCCACCGATGCGTATGTAGTCTTGGAGTCATTATTATATGGCTCCCTTAGCTATTTGTGTATGGGTCTCCACAGTGCTGTAAAATCGTCCGGCGTTTGCCAAATAAAATATTAAAAGTAGCGTCACCGTTGTGAAAGAGTTAGGGAAGATATTCTACTAGATCTCGTCGGTCGATCTTAAAGTATAAAGTACGTACAACAAGAAAATCTCCTCCCGGTACACCAATACCTTACATACGAGTATATGGAAGAAAGAATATATACGGGTATCTATAATAATAATAATAATAATAATAATAATAATAATAATAATATAATAATAATAATAATAATAATACCAGTAACCATGTCAATAACAACAACAATACTAGAAGACGCCAATACGTCACACGACACAGTGGCGGTCCCACGCTATACAGTATGTTGATATTAAGTATAACACTTATGTAAGAGATGATTAAAAGGTTAAGGGGGAGTTCATGGAGAATGTTTTAGCTGAATTACGATGCACCAATGTAAGGAGCTTGCTTGATAAATTATTGGACCTGTCTTGAGTGATATTTTACAATCCTTAGGCAAGGATAATGCTATATCTAGCAACCTTGATATGCTTAGCGGTTATTGGCAAACACCTCTGGATGAAAAATCTCGAGAGATTACTGCTTTTAGTACTCCTTTGGGCAATTTTGAATTTCTGTGGATGCCTTTCGGTCTCAGAAATGCCCCACTGGACTTTTCAAAGGATGATCAACACCTTGTTTGCAGGGTTGATAGGGACCACAGTATGTGCCTACTTAGATGATCTCATCGTAGTCAGTAAGGATGTAGATACTCATCTTGCTAAACTCTGTGAAGTTTTCCAAAAACTTTCTACAGCAGGACTCAAAGTCAAACCTTCTAAATGTGAAACTTTAAAATCCAGAATCCAATTCCATGGTCATGTAGTTGAAGGTGGCGGCATTCATACAGTTGATGACAAAGTTAAGGCTGTTGCCCAGTTCCCAAGTCCTACAACCGTTGACAAGTACGTAGTTTTCTTGGTTTATCTGTATATTAAAGTTCTTTTATTAAAGGTTATGCGACATTAGCTTCACCCTTCACCCTTCACCCTTTACTAAGCTACTTAGGAAGGATGCAACTTTTGTATGGAATGCTGAGCTAGAAGATAGTTTTATGGCATTGAAGACAGCACTTACCAATGCCTCATATGTCCTTTTACTACTCCCAAGATTTTTCTCTCCGACAACTGATTAGAGTTCAAGAACCAACTTGTAGCGCAAATATGTCGACAATACGACATCCAACACAGTCTTATCTCAGCCTATCATCCACAGGCTAATGGACTTGTTGAAAGAACCAATCGCAAAATCCTAGAGATTCTTCTTAGAATATCGAGTCAAATGAACTATGCATGGAAAGATTGGTTACCCTAAGTCGAAGCATTTATTAATGGGTCGATCAACAGCTCTGCAGGCAAATCACCCTAATATATTGTTTACGGCATAGACAAACGTCTACCGTACGGTATGACATACTTACAGACAAGCCATGCCCAGTCTATAATGTGGACGATTTGGCTACCAGGCAAATCAACGTATTCACTGATATTCATGGCCAAGTACGAAAACATTTAGCAGCGTCACGCGCTGAAATGATAAGCCTGTCATGCTAGAAATAGGCGATGCTGTTATGGTGAGAGAACCTGAACGAAAGTCCAAGCTTTCACCCAAGAACATTTCACTGTTACTTGGGTTACAGTGACTTCGGTTCCTTGCACAGTTATTTACACTGCTTCACTGGTTCAGTTAATGGTTCTATCTTTTCGTTGCCACCTTTATATATAAGCTTTGGGTAGAGTTCCCTTAATTTGGCTTATATATAAATAAGTTGAGGGGTTAGGTTACAAACCCAAAATGGTCTTTTCTCCATTTATTGCTAAAACTATATTGGTCACAGCCTATTAGTAGATGCACCGTAATTAACACTGTAAGCTGTGAGTGTTAGTTAAGGACGGGGGCTGAGGTTGACTGAGTTAGGTCACCCGTCCGATTCTCGTGAGCTTCAAGTCAAGACTGGTGCCTTGAGAGGAGGCTCCGAAGGAGAGTCTGGGCTAACCCTGCATTCTCACGGTCGGCTTACCGATAGAGGAATTTCCCCTCACTTGAACAGCACATGGCACCTCTCAGCTTATGGAAAATTACAGTGGGGTGATTGGATAATATAAACTTAATGTATTAACCCAAATTTATCTAATTGTTATTGCCATGAGACAGGGGCTGATACACTATAAAGTATGTTGATATTAAGTATAACAA